ATAGTCCAGCTTATCAAATGAAACAACGTTGTACGCTTCTGGGTATGTAAGAGTCAAGTGACGCGCGACCCAAGAAGCTCTGTGGGAAGAGTCAATTCATTTATCGACGAAAGGTCGTGTTCTCTACTCACATGAAGCCCGCACCTCCAGTTATCATGATGTTTTTAACATCTGGCCGAGGTTCAAAATTCGTCGTGCCCTTGAGTATTGGTGCCCGTTTCCATACGTCAAGGCTTTGCAAGTAGCCGCGTGTGCCGTTGACCGCATTGCCTGCGATACATCACTGTCAGCAGCTCCCAGATACGCATACGCATCGTGTCGAAAACGCCGCACTCACTATTTCCTACCCCGTCCGAAACCACCGATGCAGCAATTTCGGGTGGCAAAGACAAGGACGGCGATGATGATGAAGATGACGATGCCGCTTTCGTTTGGCGTCGTGTCATGACGGAAGGTGCAGCTGACCTCATATGCTCACAGCTGCGTCACCATACATGACAGGTGTCCGATTGGACGGGAGGGGTGGTGCAGAGGCTCAGATTGCAAATTGCCAGTTCGAAAGTGTGTATCAGCAGGTCTGCCCAGACGGTTGAGTGAAATGCACGATGCTATGGAAAAAGCATGAGTGCGATGCGGCTGGATATCAAAATTGCGCAAAAGCCAGTGACAAAACGCTGGCATGGTGGCGCACTATTATTGCATGGCGGAAGCCGTGCCGCCACAAGACGGTGGTACGTTAGGAACTTGGCAAACTTGGGGACTCAGCTGGTATGGCCAGGTGTAAAACGTAAAACGTCAACTGGTGGAAAGTTCTAAAACTGTAAATTGTCGCCCTAGCGGGCTGGTGGCTGGCTGGTGGGTCTGGCCTCCTGCAGATCTCGGTGCAATTTGAGTGAGCCACCCTCTCGTCAAATGTTTGTCGTTTGTGTTCTATCCCGAGCCATCCAGCCCGCGCATTCACGTCACTCATGGCTTACCTGGCTTTCCACCGCGGGGAATTTATTTGCATCATCACAACCGACCCATGGTCGTATTCCTACTGTGGGCCAACTCTTCTCGCACAACTTGGACAGGTCACACCATCACAACTTGTCTCGGTATTGGGTCGCTTGAAAATGCCGTAACCAAAGATATTTCCATCCTACAGGTTGAACCGCTTGCGATCCTTCTCCATCTTGGCTTTCCACTCCCATTGGGTTGCATCCTCGCCCTCGCTGCCCGCCCGTCCAATGCCCTTATCAACTCTCCTCAGCTTCAGCGTAAATCGCGGGCCAAGTTCCTGCAAACCTGCGCGGATCCCCTCTACGCCCTTCATCTCCTTTCCATCAGCACCTACAATGCTCTTTTCCGTAGCCCTTTTCTCACGGAAAACATATCGATGTCGGCGAACAAAAATGTAGTCTCGCTGGTTGTGGAGAGTGACCACCTGACGACCCTGGAATTCAGGCCGTGGGGGGAAGAGTGTCTGAAACAGCTTGGCGGTGAGAAGGCCCAGCGGCGTCTTGAAATTGTTGAGAAGCAGTTCCGGGTAATGGTTGGTAGGGTTTCCATGGCCAGGGAGTTTTCTGCCTTCGATCCAATTTGATATTGAGAAATAAAACGTTGGCCCAGACGGCAGATGGACAACCGATAACCCAGTGGGCTTCTTCAAATCTTCCTTAACAAGAAGCACAGTAGTGTAGTCCCTATTTGTTGCGAACTTGCAAATTTCTCGTAGCGAATACTTGTGGCCATAGCGATGTGAGGATCGGGGGATATATGTGCTATTTGGGAACAGGGTGCCTAAGAGCTGCGCTTCGTAGTGAATGGTAGAGTTGATAGAGGTTGTGACCAGGACCTTGGGGTCTGGTGCAGGAATATCGCTGAATAGAGACGGGAACTTGAGCGCCAGGGACGACGGTGTCAAGTCGAGGTTTGTGCTTGTGGTTGACGGCGCTACGCTAGTATCTCGTTTCGCCCGTTTCTCTCGTTGCTTCTCCAACACATCCTGCCTCGCTTCGTCATCTTCATCTTCATCCGAACCCAACATGCTGTCTTTGTCCTCCTCCTCCTCCTCATCATCATCTTTCATTTCCGCATCGAGAGCTGCCCGTTCCTCAGCTTCAGCTTCCTCCATTTGCCTCCGCCTCAACTTTTCCAAGTCAACCTGAGCGCCCAGGCTGTCGTCATCGCCTTCGTCCCATATTCGCTTTTGATCCAACGTTAGAGTCTTGTTCTTGGCCAATCGGGCAGCCTTGAGTTCTGGCTCTCTGTTCTCTTCTTTTCTCCGACGGTGTCGAGCTTCTCTTCGCTCTTTTCCAGACGCCTTTTTGTGCTGGACAAAGAGTTCTTGGCGTTTTAACTTGTTTGCCGCTTTCAGCGCCTGCACAGGGGGCTTAGTGAAGCCCATTGTGAGAGTTGAGTTGATTGCGCCGGCGGTATAAATTGTAGACTAATCAAGCAAGTAAAATAGCTGGGCTGGAAATTTTGGCCTGGAGGGGCATAGATGGATAGGGAAAAAAAGTCCGGCAGAAAATTCCAAAAATTTTGGCGGTGAGGGTCAACCGCCGCATCTGATTGGAGCTGCTGCCACAAGAACTTGATTGCGCCAACATATTAATTAAAAAAATTGCCTACCGTCTCGATCGCTGCCTTCGCGCACTACAACTTCAAACAAAATGGTCGCCAATGGTAATAAGAAAAGAAAAATAACTCATACCTCCTCCGACGATGAATCCCAGGCTCCAATAACGTCGAAACGAGCGCAGAAGGACTTCTTCAAGCACGCATCCAATTGGAATCTCGAGCAGGACTACGAGTCTCGACCACGAAAGGGGAAGAAGAATGAAAAGGAAAATACCAAACTCCCCATCAAGTCGCAAGATGGTCGATTAGAACTTCTCAAGGGCCTTGACCCTGACGATGATGCGGCTTCCATCGAGAGCGATACTGAATGGCTTGAGGGCCGTGATGGTGTAGTTGAATCGGAGGGCGAAGAAGCAGTGGGGGAGAAGAAGGCCGCAGAAGTTCCAGAGGCCCAGCGGATTCTGGAAGCACAGGAAGAATTAGCCAAAGCCGCCATGGCGCTCAATGAAAACCCTGAAGAAAACAACGCCAACTTGAAGACGCTCGCAAAGATCAGCCAGTCAAAAATCCCCACCATCCGCATGTTGGCGCTCATGACGCAAATGACGGTATACAAGGACATTATTCCAGGATATAGAATACGACCTCAATCCGAAGATACGCCAAAAGAGAAGCTGTCAAAGGAGGTCCGCAACACACGGCAGTTCGAACAGTCCCTCATAGCCGGCTACCAAGCGTACATCAAGGAACTCGCCCACTGCGCCAGATCAGAAACAACCCCCGTCCGCGGCGGACAGAGCCTATCCAATGTCGCCGTCACATGTGCATGTACCCTCATCACATCCGTACCACACTTCAACTTCCGCTCCGACATCCTGCGAATTCTCGTCGGCAAACTCAGCCGAAGGAAAATCGACAAGGACGCCGCCAAGATCATCCAAGCCCTTGAAACCCTCTTCCGCGACGACGAAGAGGGTCGCCCCTCTCTCGAAGCCGTCTCTCTCATCACGAAAATGATGAAGGCCAAGGAATTTGCCGTTCACGAAAGCGTACTGAACCTCTTCCTCAGTCTCCGTTTGCTCTCTGAATTCTCTGGCAAGGCGTCTCAGGACACCGTGGAGCAACAGCGGGCACCAAAGACCAAAAAGAAGCGCGAATTCCGTACCAAGAGGGAAAGGAAGACAATGAAGGAACAGAAATTGTTGGAAAAAGACATGTCTCTGGCCGATGCGCTCGTCAGCCACGAGGAACGAGAACGAATGCAGTCCGAGACGTTGAAGCTTGTCTTTGCCACATACTTCCGCATCTTAAAGCAGCGGTCACCGCATCTGATGGGCGCGGTGCTGGAAGGACTCGCTAAATACTCACACCTGATAAATCAAGATTTCTTTGGCGACTTATTAGAGGCGCTGAAGGATCTCATCCGCCACAGTGACGAAGATGCCGAGCAGGGTCCCGCGGGTGAGGAAGCCGCCGAAAAGGAAGAGGATGAAGATTCGGTACGGAATCTCACCCGCGAGGCCCTCCTGTGCACCGTCACTGCATACGCCCTGCTAGCAGGCCAGGATGCCCATAATTCACGAAACGACCTACATCTTGACTTGTCATTTTTCACTACACACTTGTTCCGCTCTCTGCTCTCTCTTTCTGTTCAACCTGATCTCGAAAATACCCGTCTATCCGCGTCCTCTGCCATCTCCAAGATCAACGTCCAAACCACGACAGTGCTCCTTCTCCGCTCGCTAACGGGCATCCTGCTCCCTAATTATAACATCCGTCAAGTGCCTCCTTTGCGCCTCGCCGCCTTCACGAAGCAGCTTATGACTACCGCACTACAACTTCCAGAGAAATCATCGCAGGCCATCCTCGCCTTGCTTAATGATGTCGCACACACACATGGCAAGAAGATTAACAGCTTGTGGAATACCGAGGAGCGGAAGGGCAATGGTCAATATAATGCGTTGAGCGATTCGGTAGAGGGAAGCAACCCGTTCGCAACTACTGTGTGGGAAGGAGAGTTGCTAAGAAATCATTTCTCGCCAAAGGTTAGAGAAGGCGTCAAGATGTTGGAAAAAGGCATGTCGGGATAAATACGGTCAAATTTTTAGACTATTCTTTGCATAGCGATTGTCTAACCTTATGTCTCAATCTCCTCCAAGTGCCTGATAAAATTGGACCACGAAGATACTGATACTTCTCTTTGCAATTCATAATGTTCTGGGACGCATCCCATCGTTCCTGCGTATTATCTTCCAGTGCTGGCTGGCATGTAGCACATCATGTGACACCCAACCATGCAGTCAGACAAAAAAGTCCTGTACCTCAAAAGCATTTACACTATTAATAAACGAAGTCACCATTCGATGTCGGAATTCGATATCGGAAGCCTCCGGCTGTAGATGCCCTGCAAGTGCATACCCCCCGTATGTGCTCAATCACCCACACTCTCGTGGGTGGTGTGCCCATCTGGAAGCTGAAAGACCTTGCATTGGCTGTGGTTGGCGGCTGCCCAAGTTTGGGGCTGCAAGCTGCGTTCCATTCATTGCCATTGTTGAATCAGAGTACGCGTTAGGCATGGGATAGTGAACTGGGACCCAAACTGTATAAGTCAAAGGAAGTGCAGGGGTTGCTTTTTCGGTAGCTGGCCAGTGTCCGTATGGCGTACCGTCCGAGGATGGACTGAACTGACCGGTAAAGGGCAATTTTTCTTCCTGATGCTGATCATTATCTGTAGCCTCAATTTCTTTCGGTGAAGGACTTCCTATGCCACCGTTAGCAGACTCTGCCTTAGACGGTGTAAAAGAAGGTGCCTTGGGGCAGAGTTGCTTGCCCTTCGTTGCAAGTAGCACGGTATTTGCATTGACGATGACAGGTTGGTCCGCCTTCATTGGTTGATGCTGAGAGGCCGCAGTGGTTTCTTCGAAACCACCTTTTTCTTCTTCAGCATCGCAATGAGTCGTATTATGGCTAATTTTGACACACGACTGCTTGTCTTGGCCCAAGTGTTCAGACATATCAACTTTTTTGGCTAGTAACTCCAAAAATCTATCCATGATGTTTCCTGGACCATCCCCTGTCGGACTTTTCTCCTCGAAGGAGAAAGAGCTGAGTAGTTCGGCAAGCTGGTCGGCCTCCTGCTCATCGGCAGGTTTCTGAGGACTGTCTGCCGGGCTGGTGTGTTTGTCTCCGGGCCCTTGAATTAGGCTCTCGGGTGTCAGCGGCGTACTAGCACTAGCTAATGTTGGTGACCTGGGGCCAGTAAAATTGCCAGTCGTTTCTGAAGTCGGTGTATGCTTAACTGTGGGCTTAGGAGTCGCAGCTGGCGTCGGGGATAGGTCATTTCGACTAAGAAAGTCGAACACGGCTCTCCCGATTACTGCATCTTCAGCCCTTGATTGTCCAGTTTGCCAACCTTTTTCTAGGACATCGCTGCTATAGTGCCTTTGAGAAGGCTGAACAAATCCGGCAGCAGCATATTGTCTATTTCTCTCTGCTTATTGGTTATGCTAAGAAAGACAAGTGAAGATAATTTGCCAGTGACACGTACCTGCGACACGCTGGCGTTGCGTGTGAGAGGTAGGATCGCGGTGTATTTCGGAGCTGCCCGCAATGTCGATGGCTTCCACTCGTGGTTTGGATTTTGCGTGTCTCTTCTCGCTGAACTGCCCTGTTTTAAAGCTTTGGGCAAGTGCGATGGCATCCGCTAGTTTCTGCGGATCGTTGAAGGCGGTCATCTCTGTCTTATCAGACGAGAATTAAAGGATATTTCATTCGAGCGGAGAGATCACTTCATCTATGAGTAGAGCAGGATGAAGAAAGAAAAGGAAAAACACGGTGCGTGGACGTTGATAGTTGCGTATGGGGCGACAGCTGTCTGGCACCTGCCAACCCCGAGTCTCAGTGTTTGCATAAGTATCGCCGACCTGTCTGCATAATTCACTGCACGTTTCTCCGATATTGAGCTAAGTAGCCGATTTCTAATTAGCAGGCACCTCTGGACTTATATGGAGATCATCAGGGCTAGACGCACCCAATGGAATAACCAGCAACTACAAAAGGTCAATTTTAGTTGTGGTTTTTGCCATGGCTAACTTCTATTCTCAACTTGACGATATATTGACATCTATTTTTATATAATAATAACACACATGGTTGCCGTTCAATTAGTATCCACGCTATCATCGTTCTGGCTTATACCTGCTACTCCTGCTCTTCCTTTTCAGATTTAAGTAGTCTGGCAGCCTGCGTCATTTTCAATTTCTTGGCACCAACTACAGTCTCCACCGAGCTTATTTGAGTCGGTCGGTAATGAGAATCATTTATGCCGCCCAACCACTCAGCATGAATCGTCGGTACGTGCTCTTTGACAAACGCCCAAAGAGCATCTGCTCCCGGGGCATCTCTGGTGATAGCAAGAGCGGATACTCTGACGATCCCTAAACAAGAGCTCAACCTATCTGAACAAGGTTTGGAGAAGCCAATCAATTTGATGTTGTGATGGGGCCCAAGGTGATGTGACGAGGTAGCAACCATCTTTGGGAAATGGCAGTTGAAAGCAGCAGACTGATTTCCTCGAGTAACGAAAACCATGGAATAGGGTTGTCTTGAGCTTTCCGGTTCAGGTTTCCCCGTGGACTTTGAACCGGAGATTGATTCGAATCCTCTAGTAATCGCATTGAATCCTATGTCGACATGATTGCATAGTACAGGCTTTGGAGGCCTGGGAATATTTGTCACTGGAGGGACGGCACCCTGCCTTGAGACTTTGGTTTCAAGTTTTGCCGCTCTCTTGCCTCTCGAAGGCTTGATATGTGTTCTTCTATGTTGGCCAATGGGACTCAGCAAACTGGTGATGAAGTCAGCGGAGAAACCATGCGGACTCTGACCCTGCTTACTTGCAAAGAAGCTCCAGGATAGTATCTTGATCATCAGACGAAATTTCAGGCCTTTCATGTTGATTAGATAAATTAGAAGCTCAAGGAAGTCATCATGGGGGACCCCCATACCACGATACTGTTGAGAACGGCGTATCAAGATGATGAGCCAGGCGCTTCCGACCAGGTGGTGCAATTGGGGTTGTCATGATGTGTTCCAGAAAGCATATAACGAGAGTAAAATGGCGAAGGCAGATATTGTTCCAGGAATTATAATTGTGAATCCTCCTTCTTTGGCGAGAGGGTCTGGGTTGCCTTGGTGCAAAGATCAGTTGACAATTAGCTCTACTCCAATAGTCGAAATAGGAAGAACATTGAAATCAGCAGTGGGTCAGTAAGCAGGGAATTGACGAGGCACTGTGTGTGAAAAAGTGGATACATGTCTAGGCACCCTAGGTAGGTACTCATCCGTACTGAAATCTGCATTACCGTACCTGGGCAGGTCAACGGAGTAGCGTCAATAGAGTGGAGTCAAGCGTTTGGAGGTCAGCAATGTCTCAGGGTATGGCACAATATTCCGCGCACCAGACTGCCCCCAAGCACCTTTTGGCATTTGCTGCAGCATAGACACTCAACATAATGTGTATTTGCCAAACATGGCCAAGAGACAGCCTACGGACACATAAGTAAAAAACATTGAAAGGTGATACCGAGTACGGAGTAAAAGGCAAGCAAATGGCCTAAGTGGAGAAGTTTAAAGGCGCTGGCGTGCCCAATGATCACTGTTGAATTGATAGAATGCTGCGTGCCCAGGGTAGGGATGGCGCTGAGCCAAGTCTATAGCTGGTTTTCATTGAAAACCAATTATAGTACTGGAAGGTAACCAGAGTCAAATGCCCTTTACCACTTGACAAGCTTGTTTTAGTGATGAAGCTAGGTGCAAGTGCATGTCCGGACTTCCTAACGAGCAAAGGCGATGACGGAGAAGGAATTCTAATGTTTGCATCACTTAAGGACCGCGGTGAGGAGACCCTTCAGAAAAACACCAGTTGACTGAACCACAACACCAAGCTACTTCCAAACAAGTACTCAAGTACTTACCCAGGTATATTACCACAGGGCATATTTGAGACTTGAACTGTGCTGAAAAGGGAAGAGTACCTAGTCAGATGTGCATGTGACAGGATCGACGGCTCTATTTGGCCAAGAAAACCGTCACTGTATTTCATGTTCCGAGTTTCTGATGAAGCGAAAGCGAAAGCGAGTCCTGAAAGGTTCAATGTTTGAATCATTGATGTTTACAACCATCTCTTCGTCTTGTGTACTAGCCAGCCGCCGGGGTCTGCACCGACTTTCATAAGCCTTGCAGAGAGTACCTAGGTACTTAAAGTACTATGTACTTAAGTTCTCCGTACCTGGACAGTGAGGTACCGTTGACGCCTTGGGCGGATGGGCAACACGCATTACCATAAGTTTACCTCCTACTTGAGGACTTGAGTAATTTTGGGTATGTACGTGTATCATCGTGCGCTTTCTTGCGCGTACTAAACACAACAACTATTTGAAGCTTCTGGACGTGCTGTTCGGCAATTTGTATGTCGCCACATCTTGAGCTAGCTCACCATGACGGCATGACAGCATGACGGCTTGACCCCTCGACACAAGTGGACACCTGAAATTCCCAAGGTTGACACCTTACCGAAGACACATTTGAAGTACCCGAGTACTCCGTACCCAGCTAGCTTGCTCAAGTGAGCTACCCCTCCAACCTCTAAGCCCTGCAGTCCCCTACAGTGTCGCCCCGTCACCGTCACGGTTCCACACAAGCACCGCGTCCCGCTAGCCAATCCGCGCCCGCCATCGCCTCAAAGTACACCTAATACCCAATGTACACTTGGTACATTTCCAGGTACGCTTGGTACTTGCCTGACTTTAGCACCAGGCACACACCACTTGAGCGCTCGCTTTGCACTTCACAGCTTGGCCTGCTTTCGTCCTCTGCAAGACGCATGTCTTCACCAACTGTCTCTTTACAACTTTTATAATTCTTATCACTGTGCCTGGCCCGATCCTTATTGGTCATTGGAGTTGAGAGGGCTTCTGGCTTTTCCTTTCCGCACCACACATGTTAAATTTGTGCATCTGCCGCCCAGCCGGCCCTCACGACGCTGTGACGTCTTTACCTCGAGCTTAGCCCTTGGTGTGAAGATATCGACTTCCAACACTTCTCCAGGGCCATCGTCCCGCCACACTTCCAACCTTGGGCTGCCGAAGCTGAGCATCCAAGCTGAGCAGCCGGCTCGAGCTGTCAGAACCTGATCGCTCGAGCACTCGACATGGATAACGACACGGACAGCAAGACGGATCAGGCCGCGAGTCCGACAAGGAACGTTGCCGCGACGGCCTCACCCAACGACCCGGACCATAGCCATGCCCCTTCACCTGATCCGCCTTCTACTCGCCCAAATCCCTTTGATGATAGTGATCTCTCCGCCCGCAAAAGGCGTCGAACTTCGGGCTCTGCGTCACCCCCACCACCAGCATCGGCATCAGCATCAGCATCCGCATCCGCAAGCTCGGGCGCATCGACATCTGGGAAAGTATCCGCAGACGATAAGTCGGCCGTCAAGAGATCCAGCACCAGTACAATGATCATGGGCCAACAGTCAAAAATTGCAGTCACGTCTTCTGCAGACAAAATTGAGCTCTCATGTACTCCAAGAACGCCAACAGACAGCGCCAAAAGCAATAGCCCGACGCCGTTATCCTCCAGCAAGGTCACCATCAACCTGAGAAAAGTCGCCGACCCTGTCACTAACTCTGCAGAAACTTTTTTGCCGTCATTGAGTAACGACGAGGCTCCACCGGTTATCTCAAACGTCACCGGCGATCGCCAACAAAAGCTGACTGTGGAGGTGCCGCAGCGCGCCAGGTTAGAAGAGCAGACTGCCCAAATGTCGGATTCTGCAAGCCCACCAGTTGAACTCATCGCCATCTCCGACGATGAAAACGAAGAGAGTGATGATGAAATGGCTTTTTCCGTTGACGAAAAGGCTACTGGAATTCTGAGTCGTGGGCTATTGCCTCTTGACCCTACTCCGCAATTTCCTTATATCCAACGCAATGAAGAGCCATCCCTGCCGCTGCTTCGATTTATTCATCACTTCAAAGCTGGTATGGCCGTTTTAATCCTTCTCTTATTCTTTTCACCTTCTTTACTACGTCAAATCCCCATTTTGTAATAGCAGTGGTTGGTACTAAGACCTTTACAGATTCTCCTATTAACCCCGAGGCTCTTATCTTACTACAAGCTTGGATCCAAGATTATCTGAGTTTTGCCAGAAATGCCGAGAAGTTGACGGTGCTAGACTCTCGGCAAGCAAATAAAAGGTTCTGGTTAATGTTCCCTGAGTCAATGCTGCAGTTGTTGCTAAGAAGGTATGTGTCTGGCCATCTCCTCTCGCAACCCCTTCCCCCTCCGTGCTCTTGCCATTTTTTTTTTCCGTGTTTGGCCTCAATGTTACTCCTTTTTCAGCCTGGTCTAGCTTAAGAGCGACTGTGAAAAGGCTTAGCTGATGATGTTAACTAACGATTTACAAAGTTCCGAGCTTGTCAAGTCACCGGAGCTGCGCAGTGCCATAATCGGGGTCTATTCCGCCTTTGCCTGTGTAGCGGCTCGCATGGTTGCTCTGGACATTCTGGTGCTTCGAGAAATGCAATCCACCATTGGAGTGACCAATCAGGAGCCTCCCGATCTGTACTCCGCAAAGTACCTCCTACAGCTTCATGACATAATAGTCACCGATGTGTCCTCACCAAATACCGGCGAAGAGAGATCTCTTGGCTCGGATTGGATTCAAAATGAAGTCGGGTCCTACCTACTTACTAAACTACAATCTAGCCAAGGTGGCAGCGTGTCCGCCTTCTCGCATTTGGCAGCTGCCTTGACAGCCCTTGTCCCAAAGTTCCCACGACTGATGGAACATTTGGCAGCCATCGCAAAAATTCTAAGTAGTTGTTTGCGAGAATCCGTACGAATGCTCGTCACGGAGGGCGACCGAGTCGCACAAGCACACAGCCAATTGGAGATAGGTACTACTACTTGGGACAACATTTCGACTTGTTTGGAAATGGTAATTGAGAAACACGTTACTCAATTAGGTGTTGACACAGCTACAATTCTAATACAAGCTTTGACGGATGTTTTGAAGTGGACGCTGCGTGGAGAACACAGATCAGCATACGACACTCTGCGCCAACACCTGCAAAAATATCCCAACCTACCTTATATTCATGGATTTGAGGCGGTTGCCTGGCAATGGAGGCTCGGTATTTTGGACCGTTTAATACGTTCAAGTCAAATGCAGCTTCGTGTTATGGCCATTACCAGGTTGTGTAACGACCTCGTGTCAGTATGGAAAAGCACCATAGACGCCGGTGATGAAAGCAGCCACAGATTTCTGGCATTTATTGGGGAGTGTTTACTGGAGACTCGGTTGATCGATTACATATTGGGCCCGAACTGTCATCCTGAGATTATTGTCGAGAGTTCGAATGTGTTAGGGTTTCTGATTGTTACCAAGCTCTACAAACAGCACCACACCGACCGTCTATGGCAAAGTCTCATGCTCTGCCAAGATCCTCGCATTACAGAGGCTTTAGCACGTATGGTAACAAGTATAACCAACCTGTTCGACTACGATGGTTTGCTAGGCTGGTGTCAAAAGTTCCAAACAGTGCCGCTTGAAGCATTCTCGCCGGCCATACGCACTCTCTGGGACAATGTTATGAATGACCTGATATCGAAATGTCAATCAGAGCGGCATACACCGTCATTCGAACCCTTCGATCTTTGCTTGAGGCTATTAAGGGAAGCCTCAGTTTGCACGGCGGGATCGCGAGTAGCCGATCCCGATTTACAAATGGTTGCCATACAAAAATTGAGGGAACTTTTGACCACCGCACGACCCGATGATCTAGACATTTTGCACCTGAGCTGTCTGGACGACATAGCCAAGAAGTCGCCTACAGCACTGGGAAGTTTGTGGTGCTTGTCCATGTCCATGCGGGGAAACATTCCCAACGAAGTCGAGAATCTTACGAAGAATCACGACCTTGCGAGGCTTCTTGTAGAGGAATTGGCTCATGCAGTCCATGCCGGGCAACAAGCGGGTGCGTTTGCCGTCATTTCTGGCGCGCCCAACGTACCCAGAAGGGATCTAATCGCCAGCATTATTCAATTTCAACCGGCAGCTTTGAATAACGGGCTAGGCGCCCTATTGCTGGATATCATTGTTGGTCCGAAATCACCCTGTGCCGATGACAGAAAAGCTGGCTGGTATGTCATCACAAATGTGATGAGAAAAGTATCAATGAAGAACGCGTTTTTGCAAGCTTGCTTCTCCAGGTACCTGCCTGGCCTTCCAGCTTCCTGTTTCTCAGATGGCATGCTCGATTTCGTTCGAGAGCGAGTCTTGTGTCTGGCCGTAGATGGCAGTAACTTTGCCTTGGATGACGCAGAAGCCCTTTCGCACAGTGGTGTTGAGCAGCTTTGGCGGATCATTTTAGAAGCTGAAGACCCCCTTTTGGTGTCTCGGGCTATCTCTACGCTCGCAGTCGACCTATACTTGGAAAGTAATGCTATCAAGTCATATTCGGTCTGTCGGTCGAGGAAGGTGCACATATCGCTGGTCAATCGATGCTTGAACCAGATGAAACAAGCGGCTAAGAAGCTTAACGGATCCGCTGAGTCTGTTATCGGGGATGACGATGAATCAATGGTGATTGTTGCAACCACTGAAGAGATCCAGCTACAAGAGCGTGTTTTCAGACGCTCTCTCCAGTTGATGAGGTTTTTTCTTGAAAAATACCAGGTGCACGGCCGGTTTTCCGTTGCGGACTTCAGACCGTTGATGCTGACGACGGTAGAAGAGATAAAAGGCGAGTCAGCATGTTTACAGTATCAGGCCTTTGACAGCTATAATCGCTCCGACATCAAGCCCTTAAGTATTGGTCTTGGGAACTCCATTGCTTCCCTTTTAACTTGTATAAAAAACTTGACCGGATTTGACAATTACCGCATATATTATCGTGGACAGCCGCTCCTTCCCAAGGAACATCAAACTACGAAGTCTTTAGAAGAGCTTGGCATACGTGATGGATTTATTCTGGTCAAACAGGAAGAAGGTAGTGCGTCACTTGCAGGATATATACGCCCTGGTTCATCGCCACTAGAGATTGAAATTCTGGGCCACTTTCAAGATTTGTGGGAATATCTGAGTATGGGCGAGAAATTAGCTGAAGAAGTGAGTGCGTATAAGCTGGGGAGCGGTACAAGCGAAACTAACTCGTGCAGGTCTACGACTTTCTTGTGAAGCTTCCGGCAGATGGCCACTTCATGCTGCAGTTTGAATCGGATCAGAATGATCATTCGAAAGTATTCCTCAACGGGCAGGCGTTCAAGACACTGTATGGCCTCCATGCCCTAATTGACTATATCGAGGCTGCTCAACATTCTGCATCCACAACGAGTCACGACGATTCCATGGGAACCACGTTGACATCTTACCAACAGGCCCTCGTGAGGGGCTTGCGCCTGATTGTCAAGGCTATAGGCGATCCCAAGACGCTAGATGAAATGCCGGCTGTCCAGCAGCTACGAATTGGAGCTACAATCCTGCAAGTTTTCGTGAAGCTGTTCACAGGTTAGGGCTGATATCCTTTCGTTTTGGAGCGTTGTGATACTGACTGTTTATTCAGAAGCTACCAGGTACAAAACGTTATTGCAATTTGGCGATGACGTGCTGCCACATCCCACTCGCCTCATAGACATCTTAACCAAGGTGGAAGGCGACACAAGTGACACCAGCTTAGCATTGATAGAAAGTGCATGCACAGCAGTCTTGCGCGTGGGCTCGGTGAACCAGGAATTTTGGAACACAATTGTAACATCAACCTCTTTTCTCGACATAATGAAGAACTTTCTGTTGAAAGATCCTCGAAAGGAGGTGAGACAAACAATTGTTGAACTTATCGAGGATATCACGGGCCCACAAACTCAGCTCTTAACACCAGAAAGCGGCCACTCTGTTTATGGCAGCCAGGAAACCAGACCCGTTTTGCTTTCCATCTGTACCGCTCTGATCGAGGGTCTGCCACTTTGCCTCATCCACCAGTCTCAGCCTGAGGAGTACTTCAGAGCCCTGCTTCATCTGATTGCCCGCGCATGCACAATGACTTCTCAGGCCTTGGATATTGACCTTCTCGCAGCAGTGGCACGGGACCTCCTGTTAAAGCATACCTGCATAGAAGTAAAAAAATGTTATCGTTGCATGGTATCTCCAGGAGCTAACATATATTGATAGACAATCGATCGGCCGGATATAGCAGACCCAATCGCGGCTGGCCTAGTGGCTGTGCTGCACATTTGTGTACAGAATAGCCAAAGTCACAGCACGTCCAAGAATTTTGATGAGTACGCTTGAATCGTCTGCCTCATTGCTTCCACTAAATTTATGAAGACTTACCAAATGGAGTAGAAACACAATATCTCGGTTATTTTGGCGCCATCTCTTTCCAAGGAAACGACGTGGTGACAAGGACTGCGTTCCTCAAGTGATTCTCAATTCGGGCACGCGAAGGAAGCTCTACGATGTAGTTTTCCGCTGCGTTAGATACGATTTAAATTCTTTCGTTCACATACTTAATACGTTGAACGGTCTTGTGCCATTTTACGTGGAAGAGCCTGGTAGGTTTCTGAGAAACTCCACTAGAATCCCCCCCGTATTGCACGCAACTGACTGCATGTCTGTCTTGTGCAGATGACCCTTATCTCTACGATCTTCCGTATCAATTCGATCGGTCTAGAGCAATCCGAGCCCCATGTGGATATGTTGGATTACGAAACCTCTCCAACACCTGCTATCTGAATTCACTGCTCACTCAGCTGTTCATGAACACCCAATTCCGAAGGTTCATTATGTCTGTCGCCGTGCAAGACCCACAAGCATCACAGCAGCTACTCTTCTATACCCAGAAGCTATTTGGTTATATGCAGGAGAGCTACCAACGGTTTGTGGACCCTTTTGATGTGGTGACCTCGATAAGGACGTATGACGACACCCCCATTGATATTCATAATCAGATGGATGTTGACGAGTTTTACAACTTACTTTTTGATCGATGGGAAGGGCAGTTGCTCAACAAGGATGATAAGAAACAATTGCGTTCATTTTTTGGGGGCCAGTTGGTCCAGCAGGTGAAGTCCAAGGAATGCCAACATATCTCGGAGCGTCTCGAGCCATTCTCGGCTATCCAATGCGACATCAAAGGCAAAGCCACACTTGAAGAAAGTCTCCAAGCTTACGTGGACGGCGAGGTGATGGAGGGTGAAAACAAGTACAAGTGTTCGACTTGCGACCGTCATGTTGATGCAGTGAAGCGAGCGTGCTTGAAAGACGTGCCAGACCACCTCATATTCCACCTCAAGCGTTTTGATTTTAACTTGCGAACCTTGCAAAGGAGGAAAATTAACGACTACTTCACGTTCCCCAAGAGTTTGGACCTTGCCCCGTACACAGTCGAGTACCTCAACGCCGAGAAGGATGCGACTCGGAGCGACATTTTCGAACTAGTTGGAATCCTCGTCCATTCGGGAACAGCTGAATCCGGACACTACTATTCCTACATCCGAGAGAGAGAAGCTTTTGGTCGACCAAGTTGGGTTGAATTCAACGACGACTCTGTACTTCCATGGGATCCATCCCTGATGGAAAGCGCAACATTTGGCGGCCCAGACCCTCAGTCGTCCCTCCACGACATAAATGGTATCGTTTATGACAAGACTTACAGCGCCTATATGCTTTTCTATCAGCGTGCATCATCTCTACACCATGATTCAACATCTGGCAATGCGACGATTAATGGCCGTCCACCACCTGTTGAGGTCCCGGCTCCATTGAAGGAGCATATTCTCAATGAGAATAAGCTGCTACTTCGCCGACAATGCCTCTTTGATCCGGGCCACAGTGTCTTTGTACAGCAATGTTTTGGCCACTCCATTTTCCTTGGAGAAAGTCAGGCGGCCAAGTTTCGCACGTCAAAGAATGATGATGAAAGCGAAGACGACGAGGAGGTGGGAAGGGGTGCAAGTTCTGATCTAGATAGTTCGACCCACACCTTGCAGAACTTGGCCATGGAAATGTCTCTGTCTCATTTCGATCAAGTGGTTTCCAGAACCAAGGACTCTATCCTGATGGAATCTTTTGCGTCAATGTTAAGATCTGCGGTTACAAAGTGCTACGATTGCGCACTTGCATTTTACAACTACTTCCATGTGCGTCATGGGGCTTTTCGCTCGTTGGTTCAGCGAAACCCAGATCCAGACATCAGAAGCTTTACTGGCAAGACGCTTGTACTTGCGGCCTCCAAGATTCGAAGCGGTCTTCCGCGACTTTACCATTGCCCAGTCCCAACAAGAACGGGCTCCAGCCAAGCTAGTATGGATAGCGAGGATGACTGGGACGACTCAGAGCCCCCACCGTCAGTATTACAAGGAATCATGAGCATCTTTAACCACCTTTGGAGATTCTTTTATGTACACATAAGGTCCTGGGACGAATATTTCGGCACGGTGCTCGCCTTTGCCAGACTTGGAGAACTCGAGGTTGGCCGTCTCTTAGCGGACAATTACTTGCTTAAACTACTCCATATCATCAGCGCGGATCCGTCAATGGAGTTGCAGCCCAACTATCAGCGCATGGTTAATAACCTAATGCGGCGCTTCAACTCTAAGCCGGCTTCCTACACTGCAATTCTGGCACTCATCGACTACCTCATGGCACAGCTGGAACCTATGTTGAGCGCAGATGTGATTGTGGACGAGGCAGAGGATAGACGCGATGGACGAAAGCCCTTCCCATGGACATCGGAGGAAGTCCAGGCTGTTCACAACCACCCTGACGGCCCTGCGACTAGTTTTTTCACGGAAAAACTCTTGGAGACGGATCAGGCACCAGAGTTGACAAACAGCATTATTGGACGATTGGTCGAGAGCGGAGAAGAATTGGATCTCAGGGTATTCAACACCCTCCGAAAGAAAATCCAAGGGGAGACGACAACGCAGCCAATGGACTCGTCCATCCGGGCAGCCGGGCGGTATGCTGAATGCAGTGAATCGCTGGAGAGAGTGCATATCCTCATCAGGCATATTTGCACACAAGCACGCAGTCTCCAACACAATGAGGGATCTACGTTCTTGGGTTTTGTGGACCTGATGCTGCGCTCTTGCCGACCCAACGAGAGTCTGGCTCTCGCACGTAGAAGCTACGTTATTCAGGCGATCCCTATGTGGGCACCGTACCTGCTAGTGTACGGCGACGAGCACACAAGGGGCGTGACAGAGCGGCTTATCAACGATAGGCTCTTTTCGCCCGTAGGACTTGACGTACTTGATGGGCAGGACGATAACGCTGCTCTAGAACCAGAGACTTTAGAGCACGTTATCCGACAGCTCGGAATCAAGTGCCTGATGTACCTCCGGGACGTCCATGTACGGGGAAGAATACAGCTTGAGCGCAATGCAGCAGGAAACATCCTACGTGTCATTGGCTACTGCGTTCCATTCTACGAGGGAAGCGACGAAATGAATGACTATGCAGACGACAGCGCCGAGTTCCGGGCCATTCAAGGGGGTATGCGAAGCAACAACATACTGGATCAAGAGATGATGTGCTGACTGTTATTTAGAAATAACAAGCCCCCTGCAAAGATTGCTTGTGGACGAAATAGAGGACGATGGGTCTGGTATGTTCTCTTTGGTTGTACGGCAGTTCGGGGACACGACTAACGAGGAACAGAATGGGATGGCTCATGTGGCTCATCGGAATTCATGGATGCCAACATAGGCGCGTCGGCACAGACAGGACATCATCTACATGACTAAGACCATGCGGAGGTCCGTGGCCGACAGCACAGTGCACAGCGTTGAAGGATCCGAATCTCGACACGAGAATTTTGCTTTGCTCTCCCGGCTGTCTTTCTTTTATTTCTTTTTGCTATTATTCGGGGCGTCTCTTGATCTTTCCACTGCCAGCATTCACGATACAGAAGGACAAATGAATTATGAAAGACTTAGATCAACACAAGGAGCAGGCTGTCAGTACGAGCAGCCTGTGTTTGATGCACATAGCAGCGGTGTCTCGGCGTATGGAAGGAAGCAGGTTTTTTTTTCGGTTGACGACGATTTGCGGGGCTGTTTACGAGCGACGGCCCCGTGGGTTTGGGCTTGCAGCGTATGATGTGCGTGATATGGTCGACAGGTCAGAATTTGGAGTAGGTGGATAGCAGTGGTAGAGATAGCAATGAATGACAAGGCGCGTAGGAGTCAACGGGTTTCTTTCTCACTTCGGGCTTTGTGTAACTTGCCATGAATAACTGATTCGGTAAATGCATGGGCATGGGAGCTGAAGGCTGATACCAGCTCAGCATTGCATTTGTCACAAGGTTCATAAGAATAAGGGGTGGTGACAAGGTTCAAAAAGAAATGCAGAGATGTGAAAATGGCATCAGGCGGTGTTGGGAAGACAGGACAGGCTAGCAGGCTGTAATAGTCGACTGGTCATACGACGGGGCTCTCTAGAATGGAGGATAAGGTCGCATGTTGGGGCCGCAGATTAGCTGAATTCCTTCTGGTGATGAATGATGCGGTTTCGGGGACCTCTTTGTTACGGCCTCTACACTATTTATGGAGTACTGTCGGCCTTGGTCAAAGTGTTGGGGAACGAGCGAGGGAAGTGAGTGAGCGGCTACAGCGATGTTGGTTCGACATGACATGGAGAAGATGGTCGAGTCAAGGCTGTCGACGCAGCGAGCTACTATTATTACCTCGCGTAGCCCCTGTCATGGCAGCTGGACATGGGAGAGAAGTGCCGGGCGCCAGGCGAGATCTCATCTGTGTGCTTGGGTAGCACTGGTCATGTGTGCCAGGATGATGATGCATGATCTTGTTGGCACGTGGACACATGACTTGAGTGGTTCATAGATGCAAAAGGGTCCATTATTGTTCAAGCTGTCTGTGAAGCACCGAGGACGCGACTCGAACAAAGTGTCCGACTGACGGTGCGAGAACAAGTCCAAGTAACTACTTACTCGGAGTCCAGAATTGGCCACTTATCCTGTCAAAGTGGCGTTTCGTCCCGTCCTCCGAACCAAGCCTCGAGTCCCGACTGCCACGTTTCCCTTTTCTTTTCTCTTTTTTTTCTTTTCTATTTTTACCGGGCTTGCCGCTCCCTCACAAAAACGCACTCATTCCGACTAATGCAGGGCCAAGGGTACTAAGACGCGTGAGAAATCCAGAAAATCTACAGAGCTGCATGCAGAGCTGCAAGGATCATGGGCGGGCGTCCGCTCCCGGAACTGGGCGCGTGGGGGAGCAGTGGGGAGTCTGGCACGGTTAGAGTAGCCAATCACGGGCGGGCAATTCGCTCTCCGCCGCCGCCGAAAATACCAAAATAGCACTTAGCCGCCGCCGACGACGCCCGTGGGCGAAAGTGATTGGCCCCACGGATCGGTCCTGCATTCCTTCCTGCATTGCATCCATTTGCTGTTGCATTGACGGTTGCATATTGCATGGCAAACTTTTATGCTTGGGATTCGTCCTCCTGGCGGGGAAGACGCTATGCCTATTTTCGACGCAAGATGAACCTCTCGCACGCTGGGCGGCAATTGACGCTTGCGTAAACGCCGCTGCCCCCGGTGTTTTCCTCCTCCAGTCGGGAAAATCTTGGGTCGTTTTCTCTCTCTCACCCATGTTCTTGGTGACATTGCCCAAACCAACAGCCCACATGGCCATGCCTGGTCCCACGAAGCTGAGGATTGTCAGGGAGGCGTTCCCGGTGGCCTGTTTCATGTTTCAAAGCGTTTCGAGTTTCAGAACGGCTGGAATTGCTGTGGTGCGCCTCGTGGTTGGCGATTGGGTGCGGCTGTCGTCACCGAGGTAATTTGGACGCACGCAACCACGCTATTCTTCGCCATGATCCATGATGCGCGTCTTGCCGCATAGTTTATATATTCCGCATACCCACTTGTTTTGCAATCCAGTTCGATGCCGCTCGGGGAGCTTGTGATCTGCGTTTTTATATGATTTGTGTTCACTCTTTAGGGCGGTTCGTATCGTTTTGCCGTCTGGTGGTTTCTGTGGATGCTCGGTGCTCGATGCTCCTTGTAAGCGAGTGTTGATCATCCCAAGTTCCTTTTACTACCAGTCTTTAAACACGTCATCGCTTGGTTATCTCTGACTTCTCTTGTACTATTCACCATCTTTCTTCTTCTTCTTCTTCTTCTCCCTCTTCTCAAGGGCGGGTTTCATTGATATCAACAACACCATGACGTTAAAAGAGCAAATTTCTCCGCCCCTCGAGGCTGGGCCATCCGTCCTTGATGCTCGCCGTCTTCCTCATCACTTGACGCCCGCTCTCGAATATGCCTCGTCTCGACTTGCCAGGAAGTCTCTCCATCTTACCCTTGTCGTCGTCCGAAATGACTACCAACTACCCAGTGTGATTCCTCCGCTGGGATCACCGGGCCTGTCTACTCCAAGTACACCGGCCTCTCCGCCCTCGAGCAAGTTCAGCTTTTCTACCAGTCCCGTCGCCGCCTTGAAGCAGCTTGTTCGGACGGGGTCACGCCAGAACTCGGAACCAGCACAGTCCATCGGCTCCAAGAGTGCTGTGTCGTCACCGGGCACAACAAGCCTGGACTCTCCTGGTCCGAGATCTCGATGGCCGCTCTCACCTTCTACGCCTTTATCTCCGCCTCCCATGACTCCCTGTACACCCTCGTCTGTTGCCACGGATTACACTGGCCCTATGACACCGGGGGTTTGTGGGATGCGCTTTATCCACGCATCGGATTTAAGTGCCAAGCATCAAAGAATCCAGCGAGCTGTGTTTACCAAGACAGCACAGAAGTATAGCTTGGGGTAAGCTCCTGTAAACAATACAAAGAGGGTCAAGTGTTATTGAAACTCACACTGATGTGTCAAAAAAAAAAAAAAAAAGGTCATCCCTCTCGCCGGCCGTCGATCCCTCAACTTGCGGCCTGACTGCCCATCTCATCACCGACTCCCTCATCCAAAACGAAATCCTCTTCTCTTCCGACGGCCTCACCCTCCTCTCACTTGAGCGACTGTACAGCCTCAAGAGCGCTCTGTCGAGTTATTCCAAAACCAAGGCCCACTTTCGTCTCGAAGACGCGGTCGACGAACTCCGTCGGTATATCCTTGCCAACAACGGCGAAAAGGTGACCAAATCAGATCTATTACGCTCATATGACTGGCTGAGTGTGAGCCCGTCCGCCTTGTCGGACTTGGATAAAATGTACAGGAGGGCCTACGGGGGACCAGACGAGGTGGGCGCCATATCTGGACTTGGACCCCCGTCACCCACGATCCTCCCATCTTCTACATCCGAGCCAGCGATTCGCTCTGACGAAGACGAAGACGAAGACTATGGTTTCCTGACTGAGTATGACGACGACCCCGATCTGAGCCCTACGCAGATTGGACTCGCAGTGACGACGTTTGAAATGAGAAAGCCCCCTACGCCAAAGGGCCCGATTTTGAAGATTCGGACCAATTTCAGGGCAAAGCCTGTGCTGAGGAGCAAACCGGATTGCGGGGACGATGATGTAGAGAAGGAAAAAAAGGAAGATTCTGACAAGAAAGACGAGGTGGGAGATGGGGAGGAGGGCGGCGACATGACGGCACGACCTCTTGAGACGGCGCCGCAAGGAGGCACACTGTGGGCGACGTCGATAGACAATGTTTTGAGTGCGGGTGTGACGAGTCCCGATGGAGATCCTGCGTGTCCTGTACCAATGACCCCGAACGGATACGATGATATATCGCCCATAACAAGGGGAGAATGGGGATTCCTGATGGTTAACAATGCGTTTCGCGGGGGCCGAACCGTCGCAGTAGAAACGTGTTGAAAATGATGGACACACTTCACGAAATTATGCCTTCTTGTATGCTAGAGCATTTTTGTTTCTGTTTTTCAGCATGGCAGACTAAGCATTTGGGAAGCGAGAATACCATGTAAACCCGAGCCGTGCAAATTGCACACCCGAGAGAATCTGTTGCATGTAGGATTTGAGGGTATCATTATATATCGACTCTATTACCAGCCGTACTTGCTGCTCGTCGCCTTCTTGTTGCTCTTGGCCATTGCAAAGCTATCCTCCAATGCCTCCCGTTGATTCTGCACATTCTGCACCAATTGCTTGAGGGAATGTTTACCACCGCCCTGTATGGAGCGAACGGCCCTGTGAGCCTGCTGGTCGCCTGCTGCGCGGACACTCTCGTTGTACTGGTACTCCTTGTCCATGTTGAAATTGACCACCTTCTTGGCTGCGAAGCCACTCCCGTCACGACCGAAGAGCTCTCTTCTCGCTGCTGCCGAGAGATTTAGATCATCGGCAACGGTGTCCAGGGACTCGGGGTTGCTGGATGAATTGGTGGTAGTGGTTTGATATTGCGCCGAGTCTGCATACATGGTGGTAGGATGGGCATCTGGTTGATATGCGGATTCAAAGAGAGGTTCGTAGTCGCCGGCTGATGAGGATGGTGTAGGGTCTGACGGTTCTTCGGCGTGAATAGAAAATAGGGAAACCCTTTTCTTCGGTGCTTCCGCCGGAGCTACTGAAGCTGTTGCTGCCCCGTTTGCATCTGGTTGAGGCGGTGGTGTTTGAGATGTCGTGTTTGGGATGGAATTTGATTTATTCTTCTTTTTTTTGGTGTTGATACCTACTGATAATGGCCGGAACATGAGTGGTTTCCCGACCAGCTTCACCTCCTCGGCCGGTTTCTGACCTTCTGGTATACTCGGCGCGGCATCTTGTTTCTTGGGTGGCGGTAGGCTCATCCCCTCCGACGGCACAGACGAT